GACAGTTTGGCAGTGGTGTGATTTTTGTTAAAACAGTTTCCCTACTCGAGCCACGAATGCACCCAAAAGCATCTACCGCAACAGCTTGAAACCCTTGCAATGCAGCACCCAGTGTTCTGAAGGAGCTTAAGCAGTGAACCCATCTAACTCCCAAACCCTATAACCCCAACCCTAAACCCTGAACCCTAACTCATATTTCAATAGAATCTAAATCCTAAGCCCTATAACCCTAAACCCTAACTCATATTTCAACAGACAAGGAACTACTTGGAGGTTCATGGGTAGTTATAAGTAGGGTTATAAGTAGGGTAACTATAGTTATGACCTATATTTATGACCTATATTAGGGTACTTATAACTCAACTTATACCTACCCATGGACCTCCAAGCAAGAAACTACACGCAAGGCACCTTGATCGGGAGACTGAGAGCCAAGCTTGCCCAAAAAATGAGGGCTCCCTCAGGATTCGGGCTTTATGGGGGGTTTAGGGTTTAGGGTGTAGGGTTTAGGGTTTAGGAGTTTGGGGTTTAGGGTTTAGGGGTTTAGGGTTTCGGGTTTAGGGTTTAGGGTTTAGAGTTTAGGGTTTAGGTTTTGGAGCTTAGAGTTTAGGGTTTAGGTTCTGATGGTTGGTAGGCTTTAGGGTTCAGGATGTTGTAATCTCGATTTTACAATAAGCTTTCTGCAGCAGTGTCCGTTTTGCTCGCTGGGTGCTTGCCGAAGCTATGATAGAACACAGTCTGTTACGCTGGAGACTTCTGGGTACTCCAAGAAAGCACTCCAGTTTCAGTTAAATGGGGTTGGGTTTAGGGTTTAGGGTTTAGGGTTTAGGGTTTTGGGGAAATTGGAGTCTGGGGTTTTGACTTTCTGTCCAGGTTTTGTGCTAGGGGCTTTCGGGTTCAGCGCCCATGGTCTTCTACGTATTGGGCCTGCAACTTAGGACCTTGCGCCTGCTGTGCCCGCAGCTCTCTAAACTTGAATAGTAGTAAACCCTAAAACTTAAACCCTGAACCCCAAGCCCCAACCCAGAGCACCCAATACCCCTTAATTAAGGAATATACCTTAAGTCATATATTAAGGCCCCTATAATTTAAGGTATATTCCTTAATTAAGGGATATTGGGTTCTCTGGGAACACTCCTTGGACTCATAAACTCCTGGGTAGTTACCAGTAGGGTTATAAGTAGGGTAGCTATTGCTATAACTTATAAATACCCTAAACCCTAAACCCTAAACCCTAAACCCTAAACTCCACTTCCTACCCACGAACCTCCAAGCAGAGATCCCCAAACCCGGTAAAATCGCCCCAAAAGCCCGTCGGCGTTTGAACCCCACCCCAAAACACAACACCAACACCCCCCAAAAGCATCCGTAAGCCCTGAACAATAAGCCCTCAAACCCTAAACCCTAAACCCTAAAACCCTAAACCGTAAGTCCTAAACCCTAAAACCCTAAACCCTCAACCCAATCCCTCTTTGGGAAGGCTTTGGCTGCAAGCAGACTCGCCCCTGGCCTCGGCATCCATTGGCTTTTTGGTCTTGTAGGTTTAGGGCTTATAGAGACCAGACTTTAAAGTGTTTATACGGGCTTTGGTTCAGGGTTGAGGGTTCGGTGTTTAGGGTTCAGGGTTTAGGGTTTAGGGTGTTAGTCTAGGGTTTGGGCACAGATTTTGCTCGGGGTGAACCGGGGCCTGCCCTACTACAGTGGCATCGCCGACTTGTTTGTAAGCATTGTAGAATCGTAGAGCCCGTTTTCTGTCTTACTATAGACTTGATCTTGGTAGATTCGCACTTTAACCCCCTAAACACTGTTCCCGAATATCCAAAACTCTTAGCGAAAGCCAACATCCGAAACTTTCGAGACCTGAAACCCTGCAGTCTTGAACTCCAAGCCATCCCCCAATGTTTTTTTTCTATAGGGGCCTTAATCATTTGAATAGGGTTTAGGCGTTATGATATTATAGTTATAATAAGGGGCCTCCAAAACCCTATTCTAAGTATTAAGGCCCCTACATTAGGGTTTTGGGTTTTGGGGTATCGGAGCCAAAAGTCTGAAGCCCAAAACCGCAGATACCTAGGTTCGGAATGGAGACGGCCACGTCGAACCCGACGAATGGGTGGCCATCCTGAACGATCTGATCCGCTGTGTGCATGAGCCCAAGCGTTTCGTCGCGATTCACAGGGCCTTCCAGGGGTTTAGGGTTTAGGGTTTGGATTTAGCGCCGCTGAGTGAAGTGAAACGGTTGATGATATAAATCCTGCATTACCTTAAGGACCCTAAATTGGTATATTTCTTACTACGGGTACTGCAGGATTTATATCATCAACCGAGGGAGTTCCGGAGAGTGGGGCATCTTTCATGTTGGAATGGGGGCCCACAGTTTGTAGAGATTCGGGTTTAGGGTTCAGGGCTTTGGGCTTAGGGTTTAGGGTTTAGGGTTTAGGTTTAGAGTACAGGGTCAGCAAGCACTAGCACCGCGGCCCTCTGTGCGGTGACTGGGCTCTGCGGTTCGATCGTGTCACTTTTGGGTAATACAGGGGCCTTACTAATTGCCTATACCATTTTGGGGGTGCCTTATTATAACAGTAGTATTGGTATCATATACCAGGTCCCTACATTACGTGGGGACTCGTAGCCAGGGGATGATCCGAGCTGCGGGTAATCCCTGGCCACTGTGATATTACCATGCTGAAGTACTGGCTATTTTCAAGCATCTGTGAACCTACAGTATGCTATCCTTCGACACCTTTACAACCTTAGCTAAGAAGCAGGAGCAGCACGTGGCTTCTAGACACAACAGCACTATCAGATAGCTCATGGTCCTTTGTCGGGCGCGGCGCTTTCCTAGTATGCCTTAGCACCACAGGATTTCGTTCAGCCGTAAAGGCTTGGACCCTCGAGCTCAACACCCTGAACAAGTAAAAAGCCAAAGCCCAAAGCCCTAAAGCCCTAAATTCCTAAAGTCCAAAGACGTAGAAATCCCGCAATCCCTCTAAGCTGGAGGCCGACATGTCTCCCATACTTGCGGCTTCCACGAACCTAAACCCTAAATCGTAACCCCCAGTCTCGAGGCCGGATATGTCTCCCGTGCTTGCTGCATCCATGACCAATGCAGCCGAAGCCTCAGATGCTCTTGAGGTAAGAGCTTAGGGCCTGTCGTTTCAAGGTGCTAGGGATAAGCATCCTCAAACCCTAAACTCATTAGGGTGTTGGGGTCTAGGTGTACACAACCCAGAAGCTTGACTTATGGACAGGCGGTTGTCGTCGTTTGGAGTTTTTTTGTTGAGGCTGTAGGGTTTATTTAGGGTGTTTTAAGAAGGAGGGGGTTGGCGATGTCCGAGTGTATGTGTGTGTATATATAAATGTATATGTATGTGTGTATGCACATTATGGTATAAATGCATGACAGATAAATGTTAAGATAGATAGATAGACAGGTAGATAGATAGATAGATAGATAGATAGATAGACAGATAGATAGATAGATAGATAGGTAGATAGATAGACAGATAGATAGATAGATAGATAGGTAGATAGATGTGTATGCGTGTATATATATATATACATATACACACATGTACAACGTTTTTATAGGTTCTGAGGTCCATTGTCTAGTCTCTTGCATCGGCCAGGATTCCGTTAGACGAGGAGGTTTTTGAGATGTTGGCCCTAAGCCCCCAAGCCCTAAACCCTAAACCCCAAGCCCTAATTCCAAAACCCTAAACCCTATGAACCCTCAACCCTCAACCCTAAACCCTAAACCCAAAGCCCAAAGCCCTAAACCCTAAAGCCTAAAGCATAAACCCCCAAACCCTGTAGCCTAAACCACAAACCCCAAGCCGGTTCTGCAGGTCGCCAAACTGGGCCTCTCCAAAGGCTCGGTGCCGACCTCGGAGGTTTCGTCGAGGGCTTTCGGGGCTTTGTTCGAGGTATGCTTCAAGGGTTTAGGGTTCAGGGTTTCGGGTTTAGGCTTAAGTCATAGCCCTCCCTATCGGTTCTGCTTCAGCTTGGCTTCTGCTTCATTTGTGGGTTCTGCTTCAGCTTGGCTTCTCTTGCACACGGACACTCCTTTTTCCTGGAAGCACTCCCAGTTTCGCTGCATGTTGATCGGCAAGCTTGCAATATCTTGCAATCAGAAGTGCTTTCAGCATAGCTTGTAGTAGTGCTTTTATATGGCACTATAACCAGAATCACAAGCAATCGCAAGCCGCCGATTCTACAGACGTGGCCGCTTCGCCTTCACGGCTTCGCCAGCCCACGTCCATACCATAAAGAAGGCTTGAGTCATACTCCTGTCGGCAGCCTTCATCTTGTTGAGCTCTGCTTTTGTCTCATCGAGCTGGTCGCTGGGGAGCTCCTTGTTGTAGCTTGCTGCACAGCTGCCCCTCAGATGTCAGTCACAGCGAAAATGTTGCTGTTTTTCAACAGCATCCGTGCGAGTGACAGAATCACAGCAAAACAGACACGAGACATAAGGTTGCAGCCGAGGAGCTTGCCCCGGAACTGCCCGCTGACTAGTCTCGCCTGAAAGAGGGGCCTGCTGCTGTCCCTGTGCTGAGTGTGCGAGAACGTGACACCATCCATCAGCGGGAACCTGTCTGTCAGCTCTTTCGGCAGAGCAGCGGCTTCGGAGAGCAACCTTCTCGATGCTCTCTCTCTCTCGGGCGGCATCGCCGCCGGCGGCACAGCCGCCTCGCCATCGACCGGCACAGCCGCCTCGCCATCAGGCGGCTCAGCCGCCTCGCCAGCAGCCGGCTCAGCCTCAGCCGCCACCTCCAGAGGCTCCTGGCATGGCGGAATCAGCATCGGTATACAAAGCATTTGCAGTGTTAACTTTACAACAAGCTTTGGCTGAGAAGTGTCCTGACCATCGGCGGCCATTGCCGCCTCGTCCTGTCGCAATTGGCAATAACATTGTCGTATCAGTCCCGCCTAGCTGAGGTTACATTCAAACTTTGCGAAGAGATGAGCAAGCTTTAAAAAATTATTCATTGCTCTCCACATTAGGGGTCGTCCTCCTGGTTCAGCATCTCCAGAAGCTGCTTGGCCCCAGTCCATGCCTCGTCTGGCTCGTTCATGAACTCCCAGGCCTCCGATTGATTTAGAGTTGGCAAAAACAGCAGACAAAACATTCTTTTTCGCATGCACCTAGACGTAAGTAAGATCGGGAGAAAGCAAGGGAAGGGAATCGGGCCTCGGGCTCGTCCTCTTCCTCGTCCTCTTCAGTCTGCTTCGTCTTCTTCCGTCTCTTGTCGTCCATGGCGGTCAAGAGCTTGTCGAGAGCATCCAAACTCTCAGACGAGCAGCCCTCCTGGACCACGGGCAGCTTCATGAGTGTGCGGATCTTCTGACTCTTGCTGGCATTCTGGCGAAGTCGAGCACCATAGCTTGACAGAATGCGGCTGAGGGCTTCAGAAAGCACTTTGACGATGCCGTGGGAAGACATCAACCAAACCAGGAGAGGCTTGGCGGCTTCGCACCGCCGGAAGAGCACTGCAGAGCCCAGCTTGTCAGCAATCCGGGGCTCGCAGACGTGCAAGGTCCAATCGTAGCATTGTACCTGCACAGGGGGAAACGGTAATCTTGCAACAGTTGTCGATTCGTGGATTCGGTCCTGGCAGAAGTCCAGCAGCAGTTCCTCGACCATGGGCCTGGGGTATTTGCTTGACAAAATCCAGGTATAAAGGGCCGTTAGTAACAGGCATCCATGATTGACTCCAGAATTCTGCAGCTGTGGCACGTGTTACGGCGAAGGGTCAAAGCCTTCACCGTCTGGTCCGCTTGGAGGATCTCAGTCGTCTCCCAGACCGGAGCTTTGCACGGCACGTGCTCCTCGTCAACAGCCTCTTCGGGCTTTGGGCCTCGAAACACCATTTCGAGCTCTCGCAGCGGGAGAGCCTTGGACATTGCAGCGATGCGGAAACAGTGTCTAGTGCCTAGATATTGGTCGCACAACAAAAAGATCCAGTCAAGGAGAGAAGGCTGCTGGGCTATGTTACGGGGTGCTTCCAGGCCTGTTTTGCTGCAGAGAGGCATTGACGATGCCCGGAGTCGTTCCGACACAGAGGAAAAACTTTCCATCCACCGAGAACAGAGTGTTTCTCTGCATCGCACTCGCCACCCAGAAGTTGTCTGCTGCGTCAGCGAAGGCAACCTCTTGCCTTGGCTGGCCGACTTAACTATATAGACAGTTGCATCTTGCAGTCTCGGCATCCAAGTCACCGTTTGGCCATGATGAAACCTCTCATGTAGTTGAGGGTGGAGCGGTTGTGGTTGTGTGCACTGGTGCTCACAAACTCCGACAGGATCTTGTCCACAGGCACATCGCAGCCTGAGATTGAGACAAGAGCACTCTACTGTAGTTAGAAGTTAAGAATAGTCGTCTTAGCACAGAACTCTCTGCTGCTGAACTTCTGGAACAGATTAGATCTCAATCGGCAACTCTGAATGTTTAAGTTTTGGATTTCTGAGTTGGCGGACTTCTCCATGAACAAATTATACAATTCTGAGAACGGCAGACTCTGGCCCGGGTGTCTTTCGAAATGGCCCCGGTAATGGTTTAAACTCATGTCAAGTCGCTGCCAGAGAAGGACTCAGGAGAAAAGATCTTTTGCCTCACACCTCTTGTCATCGGCCCTTCCCAGTCTTTGGCTGTCAAAGTGACGGGCTCTGCCTGCCCCTCTTGGAGAACTTTCTGATTCAGTGCCTTCACAGCCAGGGAACTCAGCGTAGTCATGGATCCCTTCTGACTTTTCGTTCCCCGTTTCAGGGCATCTTGCATACAGCCGAACTGCTCCTCGACATTAGCACTTTGTGTGAAGGACGGGAACCATGCTCTGAGGACAGAGCGGCAGAACGGCGTGGTAGTGTACTGGGCTGCCTCCACGGCCGTCATCGCCTCTCGGTAACACTGCCAGTCCGTGTGGGGGCAGTGCTTCTTCAGCAAGGGACCAAGTTGGTCGCTTGCTTCCATCTCCAGGACCACCTGCCATTCTTGGCGGACCTCCTGCATGATGCTAGATTTCACAGCGGCCACATCTGGTACCTCCTCGAAGGGCTCCTCACACAGCAGAGCCGCCATGACGGCGGGGCAGGACTTCAGGTAGAGTCGGTAGGCCGTCATCTCATGGACATTGGCCAAAGCCGCATCCAAGAAGTAGCGGAGCAGATCCTGCCTGCTACCGCAGCGACGACCGTTGAATCCCAGAACCTCGGCGAACACATGAGCTGGGGCCGGCAGTATATAAGTAATGCAGGCAGAGAATTACATAGCTTCGGGCATCGTGCCGATCGTCTGCTAAAGTACTTTCGGGACGAAGCTGCAGTCTGCGTGGGGGTGCGGGCAACAGTGCGGCACGGCCGCACTGCTAAGTGGGAAACCTGACTTCGGAAAGCAGGGTGCGGTTTCTTTTTGAATCGGCCCGGTCAGCAAACAAGATGATCAACACTGGGAAGTATGAGTTTTGTTGCAACACTAGCGGCTCGGCCACATGATTTTGTTGAACCACTAGCGGCTCGGCCGCTACACATTGCAAAGCCGTGCGGAATATCCGCAGGCTTGCACAAAAAAACCTCTGCCACAGGTATCGGGACTTTGTTGTTCCCTGATTCCGGCACTGCTATCGAGACGAAGCTGCAGTCTGCGTGGGGGTGCGGGCAAGAGTGCGGCACGGCCGCACTGCTAAGTGGGAAACCTGACTTCGGAAAGCAGGGTGCGGTTTCTTTTTGAATCGGCCCGGTCAGCAAACAAGATGATCAACACTGGTAAGTATGATTTTGTTGCAACACTAGCGGCTCGGCCACATGATTTGGTTGAACCACTAGCGGCTCGGCCGCTACACATTGCAAAGCCGTGCGGAATATCCGCAGGCTTGCACAAAAGAACCTCTGCACAGGTATCGGGACTTTGTTGTTCCCTGATTCCGGCACTGCTACCGGGACGAAGCTGCAGTCTGCGTGGGGGTGCGGGCAACAGTGCGGCACGGCCGCACTGCTAAGTGGGAAACCTGACTTCGGAAAGCAGGGTGCGGTTTCTTTTTGAATCGGCCCGGTCAGCAAACAAGATGATCAACACTGGTAAGTATGATTTTGTTGAAACACTAGCGGCTCGGCCGCCATAGTTTTGTTGAGCCACTAGCGGCTCGGCCGCTATACATTGCAAAGCCGTGCGGAATATCCGTAGCCTTGCACTTGCAAACCTGTGCCACATGCATGGTGACGTTGTTGTTCCCCGATTTCGGCACTGCTATCTTCTGCAAGACTGTTGCACACACGGCAAAAATAGTTATTCGGACCGAGTAGCTGAGCCTTGCAAAGTCAGATCTGGGAAAACACCAAGCTTCTGAAGGCCTGCGAGACCAAGGGCGTTGTGCAGCGTCTGCTCCAGCATCCGATCCATCGCCGAGGAGTTGCAGAAGCAGGTGTGCTGCTGCAGGCACTCCAGCTTGCTCTTCTTGCTTTGCTTAGATGAGCACACGGGTGGCCATCTAAACTTCCCTGCTGCCATGCAAAGACTGCAGAGGTGCAACCAAGCGACCAGCCTTATGCACATGTCTGACCACATCTCTGTCAAAGATTGCATGGCATCGAAGAGGCAGTGTGCTTCCTCGTCCACCAGTGCCTCAGTTCGTTGCTTTCGTTGGCAATGGGAGCACCCTTTAAATGCCAGTCGAGGTTCCCGAATGCAAAGATCCACGATCTTCTGGTTGGTCTGACCACTTGTGGAAGGCTCGTCTGCCGAAAGCGTGGCGAAAACATTCAAGCCCTCCTGACGATGCACTACACATGTTAGGAGCACATGCAACCCATATAATTGGGGTCGCAGAGTTGAGGAAGCACGGTAGCCCCCCAATGCGGTGAGTGGAACAGCAGACAGGATGGCGTGACCAGTCAAAGGGCTAAAACCAACATAAAACAGGAAATTTCGCATGTTCGACTTGATTTACACATCTACCTGTTGGTATACATATAAATATATAAGATGGAGCATACACATATTCGTAGTGTATAATATATATATATATATATATTTTTTGTTTTTGTCTGCGTGTATCTGTAACAATAGATTGCACGAACTCTGCTAAGTCGTGGACACAAAAAACCCTTGCCGACTCCTCCATGCAGGCCCAGAACACCACCAGCAAGGTGGCACTGTAGTATTTCCGGAAACCCCTGGCACAGTGTGCCCAGGAAACCCAGCGACCGGGGTCATACGGAGCTGCCAATTTCCTGGGCTCGATGTTTGTTCTTTTCTTCGCGAAACTTGTTCTCTGTCTGTCTGTGTCTCTAACCCTCTCCCTCTCTCTTCTCTGTCTGTCCATCTATCTATCTCTCTCTCTCTCTCTCTCTTATTTCCCTTTCTCTGTCTCTCTGTCTTTCTCTCTCTCTCTCTCTCTCTCCCTCTCTTTCTCTCTTTCTGTTTCCTTTCTCTCTGCCCCTCTGTTTTTTAAGTGCATATATATATATATACATA